TACTCGTATACTACCACTTCTTCCTTCCTGTGATCTTCGACCTCCACCAGTTTCACACTCCTCACCAGTTGTGTTTTGGTCTGTTCCGCTAACCAGTTTTGTGTTTCGATTCCCATTCCCTCCATTTCGTTCCTTGAAGCTCTGCCTCTCGTCTTTTACCCCTGTCTGACTGACTTCGACTTTTGCCCCGTTATCTAGGAAGGTGTTGCCAGTCTTGGTGAAATGTCTCTTCCTTGGTTAGCGTTGGGCTGTTTTGTCTTCGTTGCCTTATCTCGTTTTGTTCCTGCGCTTGGGTAGGTACAATCAATTTAGGCAAGTAATAAATAAAAAATAAAAGAATAAAAGAATAAAAGAATAAATGAATAAATGAATAAATAGTTGAATGAATAAATTAACCAACGAGTTGCTGAGAAGGGTGTCTAGAAAATCCCTCCTTTAAGGTCCTAATCTCTTCGATGATAGCTGAAGATGTGATGATTAGGGGAATCTGTTCTTCTTGAGAAGTCAAAGTCGATTACTGGCCTTGATGAGTTTCAGCAAAAGTTTCCGACGGATCTTCGCTTCCCCACTTGGGGAGCGTATGAATCGATCCGAAGATGCAAATAAAACTGCGAGGATTAATTGAACACAAGATCGAGATACCCGACAACTGAGTTTTACCTCCCCCCCCCGGGAACGTGCATTCTGCTCATGAGTGGAGTCAGCAGGTTTCGACAGAGTTAGGCCTCCCCACCGTAAGATCTGGTCCTGATTTGGGCGAGAGGGCAATTTGGCAAAGCGATGCAGCGGGGTGCCTGGCAATGGTTATCCCACCTGCCTAGTTTTACAGTATTTGGATGAGTCCAGAGTAGAGAAAGAGGTTGGATGAGACCAAAATCGTTAGTATAATGGTATTGATTGTATTGTAGCTAGTAATGTCTCGATAATGTTTAATTTAGTAATAATAAATTAATAATGGTAGATCATCCTAGATTCGTATTAATGAAAGTGGTGAAATTCTACTATTAGTAAATGTACATAAAAGGAATATTAATCATAGAGCCGAGGCAACGAGTAGTGGGTCTGTAGTGTGTGGGGCTCGTTGATACGGGGTAGGGAGTAATGGGGTGGAGAGGGTGGGGAAATTGGTATGGGGGTTGGATGGAGAAAGGGTTGAATGTTGTAGGGGGGCTCGGTGATGTGTGCGTGGTGCTTAGCTAGTGCTTGGAGACGATGGAGGTGGGGCACTGGGGTGTTGAAGGGAGGGCGAGTGGGTCTGGCGGAAGAACGTAAGAAGGGGTTGTGGGGTTGAGTTGAGAGTCAGGGTGAGGCGTTGGGATGTGTAGGGTCAAGGGGGAGTCCGGGTGTGTCTGAGCTTGGCGGGGGGAGGGGAGGGATCTGAGTATGTGGGAGAGTGACGGATTGAGGAGAGGGGTCTGGAGGAGTGAAGGTTTCGCGGGGGGTGAGATGGGAGTTGTGGTGGGAAGTCGCGGTTAGGAGTTATGGTGGGGACTTAAATCTTGTGGTAGATGGGATCGCTGGGGTATGGATGGGGGAGGGTGGAGAGTTGGTAGCGGGATCCAAACAGTGGATGGGAGAGTTGAGTGGATGTCGGTGGTGGAACGGGGAACTGGGGAACGGGTGTGTGCGATTCAGACTATTTGGACGGGGGCTGGAGGTGTGGGGTGGGTGGGGCTCGTGGTTCCTATCGTTTCAGTTTAGCTAGGCTACTGTTTGTACCTGCGTGACGACTTCCTGAATCTCGTGTTCAATGTGCACAGTAATGAATGTCTTTGTCCGTGGTGTGAGTCGTGTCCGTTGTGAGTGTTGTGGGTGGTTGGTGTAGGTTGTTCTACTTTCCCTGTTCCGAGCTTCGTCGAGTACTCGTGATGATAGCTTGAACCTCCTTTCGTCGCGTTCTCCCCTGGATCGATTTGGCTGCTCCGTTCATATGTGTTTAATCAGCACAACCTTGTGCTGATCCTATCCCTCGGGCTTTGTTTGCTACACGTAGGTTAGACATCGCGATCTTACCTTTTCTGTCGAGCAGAGCAGTGCCAACCTTCCAATGTGTGTGATGTCTTGCCTGCCTGTGGTGTCCGTTGTTCCTCTAGAAGGCCGTGTTCTCCCTTCCTCGTCTCTCTTGTCTTTTCCTTCTTGTGTCGTGACTCTCTCGTCTCTTTCTCGCCTGTATTCTCCTTTTGGTGTGTCTTCTCCTTCCTCTCCTCCTCCTCCCTTTTTCTCTCTCTGTCCCTTTCTTGTATTAGGGATGGCCACGCCCAAAGGCGTGGCGTAGTGTGGCTGTCCCTTGTCCCTTCCTCCCTTTCCCGCCGAAAGTTCAGGGTTCGAAAGGGGAGATGCGCGCGTGTTCACGCGCGCGGAAAGGAACACGAACGTTGAATGGTGGCTCGAGGATTAGTGGGCCCTGTACGCGAGGCCACACGGACGCTCTCTTCCTCTTACCCTGAGCTGACCTTCCTTTCCTTTCTCGTCGCTTTTCTCCTTTCCTTCTTCGGGGAAACTTGCTCGCTTTCCTTCTCCTTTCCCTCGCGTCTGTTGTCTTTTCCTTAACTTAGGTACCCTACTCTTATCCCCTTTTTCTCATTGCTCCCCACTTCTCCTCTTCCTCTCTCCGTCTTCGCCTGTCTTTCCTGTCTCTTGCCGTGAATAGCCACATCCGAAGGAGTGGCGAGGATCAGCGTGATCACCCCTTCCGATTCCCGCCTTTCGTTTCCCTGTTTGAAAAGGAGATGGCACGAGCGTGAAAAAGCACACGGGGCAAAGTTTCGCGCCGGTTGAAGGTAATTCGTGGGCGTGCGGACGCGGTAGTTAGCGCAGTGAATTAGCGCTTGCCGGTCGGCGCTAGCTCAAAACTCAATGTAACCTGAGCTTAATCGCTCCAATTTTCAAATTTCAACTTCTAATGTTTTCCCCTGAATAGAACGCACAGTCATTATAGCTGCATTTGGGGCAACCTTCAGTCTAGATACGACCATTATGGCCGTACCTTCTATTCAGGAGAAGACGGTAGCTTTCATCCCAGTTCAAACCTTCAAGATGATCCACTGTGGAGATGAGATACATATTTCCAGGCTCACCAGATATCATAGGAAGAGAGCAAGGAGGACACGGGCAAGGAACCAAGATATCCGGCTCAAATTTCTGTTTCTTGAGATAGATTTAAGAAAACTATTTCTTCAACCAGCATCAAAGATGTAGAGAGGTAAAAAGTTAAAAAGACGAAAAAACACATGTAATGCATGTTCACCTGTGTACGGATCCGGGCCGCCCGGCCGACCAGCGCCTGCCCGGGGGAGGTACCGGGCAGCCTGGCCGGGCGGGCAGCCTGGTTGGGGGCCGGGCACCCCCAGCACACCTTGTTGGGGGGGGTTTCCGACCCCGAATCGCCAAGTTCTGGCCTCCCCAGGGCCTACTGGGTCCGACCAGGCCCAGAAAACGGCGCGCTGGGCCCGTGAGGTCAGTTTTTTTTTTTGAATTTGTGACGGCCCTCCGGCCGTCGATCATCCATGATCGACGGCCAGAGGGCCGTTTGTTTTTTGGAGGGAAAATCAAGGCCCCGTTTGAACAACCGACTGGCTGGGGCGGCCTGCATCGGCTGTCCAAACGGGGCCCCTTCTCCAGCTGCCTGCGTTCGTGGTTCAGCCGCCCTCGCTCCTCGAACAGCCCGTTGTTGCCATCGCCTGGGAGCTGCACTCCCCCGTCGTCGTGGAGTCGCCCGTGGCCCGTCGCCAGTGTCGTGGAGTCGCCCGTCGCTCGCCCCCCTCTCATCATCTTCTTCTTCTTCTTCTTCTTCTTCTTCTTCTTCTTCTTCTTCTTCTTCTTCTTCCTCTTCTTCTTCTCTCCTCCTCCTCTTCCGACTATCTTCTTTTTCTTTTTTTTTTTTGTTCCATTCGTCAGCGATAGGTCGCGAGATAAACGACAGGTAAGAAAAAAATAAAAAAACTGCTCCGCTCGTCATCTCTTCTTCTTCTTCTTCTTCTCTCCTCCCCCGCCTCCCCCTTATCTTCTTCTCCTTCCTCTTCTCTCCTCCTCCTCCTCTTCC